CCTTAGAAACAAGCTCAGGGGTAGGACTATGTCTCATTTTTAAAAAATCTGTTTATTTCTATTTTCTAGGCTAGGGCTCAGCATCCTTTAGCCCTCCATTGACACTTAATGCCTTATTGCAATTGTAAATGCAGACACTAGCCATTCTTGCATTTACTCTGCAGATAAAATTGCTATATTTGTTTAATGAGCAGTTTCCCCAGTAAACTCAATAAAAGGAACTAAAAGCCCTTCTACATATATTCTGGGCCTGCTCATTTTGGAAGTCCTTTTAAATGCTTCCAAACATGTCATTTTCCTACATTAAGCACAGCCTACTTAGTTTAATAGGAACTACATCCTTCACCTTAATCACCCAAGAATAAATGCACATTCTGTATTAGGCTCCCCTTTCTGTACTTTCTTGTACAACGAAAACCATGATAAATTAGACTCCCACTCTAAGGATGAAGGGTCTCAATGTTGCCTGGGCTTCCTATAACCTTCAGTGTTCAACTTTTCCTATTTAAAATTCTCACAGGAGCCTATTTGCAAAGCCCAGGCATTGTGGCAGAAGTTTCAGGCACTGGCCTAGGGAATGCTAGTGGCCCCTCACATGCCAGCCTGATGCCACACCTGTTCCATCACCAGCTGCTGGCACCTATATCCCTTATCATGCCAACATTGCCATGTGACCATGTTTACCCATTTTCTGTAATTATATTAGTGGCAAGCACATTCCCTTTGTCTGGGGCTCTGAAACCACCTGAGATGAAACATGGGTTACTAAACACCAAAACTCCCCAGTGTAGATTTCATAATGTGAGTGGCTTCCAGCAATTTTTACATTGATTCTTAAAATCAATGTGTATTGAAAATTTATGAGACATTTTTCATGAACACTGATATCTTAGAAGCAATGGATAATTAATTCTCAGAGTAAATGTAGGATTTTTACTCACTAAATGAGTTCAACAAAATGTTTACTGAGCACTGCAAAGATGATATACACTAATATTCTCAGAGAAATTACAGTAAGCTAAGTAGCTTTAATTTGGACCAAAAATGTCAGAAAATAGATATACAAGTGGAAAAAAAATATCCAGTTAACTCTAAAAGATGGTTTATTGGAAACCCTCACAGCATTTTTCATAAGGACCTGACAGGTTTTATTTTAATAAGACAGAGTGAAGAGGAAATGGCTTAAAAGATATCATCAATCTTTTATTTAAGCACTGCCCTTCATTTTGAAGGAAATGATACATTTTCAAATCGGAACTTCCTTCTCAAGAAGTGGTATAAGAACATAACATTGATTTAACATACAACCTTCAACAAAAATAAAGTTTACACAATTCATTGGGAAATAAAATACATGTAGAATTTATCCTGTTAGTCAATGTATTCTCCATGAATCACAAGTATTATAGCCAAGAACAAAACGACCTAATGAAAAGTTGAATTATCCAGTCAAGTTTATAGTTACCATGATTAAAAATAATTTCAAAAATAAGATGTAACTTTCCAAACAAATCCATTTGATGACCATGATCACACTAGATTTTATACTAATTTATAAAAAATGGTTAGACAAGCACATATCAAGAGTCTTCAACACAGTGGATTCCATCTTGGTAAGAAGAAAAAAAAATAGAAAACAAGTAGTCCTAAAATTTTCTTAGCTCTCCATAGCATATGTCATATAAAATTAAAGTTTTGCTTCCAAAAATATGTTTCCATGTGGTTGTGGTGTTGTCCAGTGGTGCTATTAGGGCCAGAAGCACCGAAGATATGAGACGATTAACCACTGTAGTGTCTTTTTTTTCATAAAAACTAAACATTTCCTTAAAGGTCTGGAGTCATCTTCTGCTAGGCATTTTAGTGCTACAAAGCCATTTTAAATTAAACGTGGAATAAAAGCTACAAAAAGTATGAGTTCTTTCAATACAAAAAGGTGTATAGCTGAAGTTGTGGGCTCCTTTGACATACATAAGCAGTTTCAATAAAATATTTGCTCAGGTAAGAAAATAGAATTTTTCTGGTTTCATTTAGCGTATGTTCCAGTCGATGTCCTGCTTATCCCTGCCAGAGTTTCTGAAGAACATTAGAATGGATATTTCTTTCCTTCAAAGAGCATCCGTAATTCACAGTACAAAATAGTTCTAAAGTCTTATTCCTAAGGAGAAACAAAAATTATTAAATATATTTATTTTTTCTAAAATGTCATTTGACATTTTTCTAAAATGTCAAACATAGCCATTGCCAGGCATTAAAAACTCACTTATCCACAATACTGCCATCTCGAGGACAGAACCCAGAGTTGATTCGATTCCCTATCGTGGAGCCTTTACTGGTTGGTTGTTGTTTTACTTTAAGCATTATGACCACAAGAAAATTCCCAATAAAATCGCTGTTCTCAAGTATCACATATTTCATATCTCTGGTACCCTGTAGAAACACTTGCCTTACAAGGGAAAACAGCATCTGAACAGATTTCCTATTCTATTTTCAAGCCCTGCTACCAAAAACCTCTTTTTTAGAGGTAGAATGCTACTACTGTTGTGGATTTAACAGTTCTTTCTTCAAGTTGAAACCTCTCGGAGAGAGCAGTTCATTTGTAACACCACACAATCACTGCTATAGCTCGGTGTGACCACATGTTCACTTTCTGTTATATTTTGGGACAGAAGAAGGAGCCAGGGTGAGGAAGTAGAAAAGCGATCTGGCTGGCCCAGAGCTGCAGGACAGTACCACTCTGTTTCCCCTCCCTCCTGTCTGCACAGTGATATTACTTTCAACTTTCACTACTGTGTTACAATGAAAGAAAACCCGAATCAGTTAGACATAGCAGCCTCTCCTAAATGTCTTCACCCATGTTTATCTTGCTCCACTTTTCCCTGAGCAAGAGAATATAAACACAGAGCTGTGAGAATATTAAACATGGAAACTAGATCTACATTTCCAACAAGAAACTGATTTACCCCCAAAGTCCTAGACCAGGGCTAGACTATGGTTCACCTTTAACTATCAAAATGACAGGAATTATTTGGTGATCACTGTGAAAATACGGAATGTAGCTAATGCCCTTGTAATTATAATGAAAGACTTCATGTTGAGGTGCTACGAAGGCCCAGGCTTTTAAAAGTTATGGCCTCAACTTCCATGTCTAAAAAAAAGTATAAAAGAAAATCCTTCAAGATGTCTTGCCTTGATTTAGAGATCTCCAGGCAAGAGGCCCAAGGACAGCCATGGTCTTGGACCACTCAAGTATGATTCTATTCCAACTGTTAAGAATTAGGTCACAAAATGACTTGTACAGTGTAGTTTATGATTCCCAAGAGGTGGCAAAAAAAAACCAAAAACATACAACTTTTGAGACAGTATTGGCAACAGGCAGCAGAGAAGCTATTCTGTAATTGAGGGCACACATCATTAAAGGGCTCAGAAATAGAAGAGACAGGTTGGAAAAAGTCTCATATTAAGCAAACAGCTCAGTACCAGAACCATATCTGCTCAGCCTGCCACTAACAGATCCCACAATCATCAACCTGTGCTTTCAGACTGTTAACAAATTCAGATTCGGTGCTGACTACACCAGGTGACATCTGTGATTGACGGATGTCACCTCTATTAATAAGAAACGGGTCACTGGCCAGGCATGGTGGCTCACGCCTGTAATCCTAGCACTCTGGGAGGCCGAGGCAGGAGGATGGCTTGAGCTCAGGAGTTCGAGACCAGCCTGAGCAAGAGCGAGACGAGGTCTCTACTATAAATAGAAAGAAATTAGCCAAACAACTAATACAAAACAAAAATTAGCTGGGCATGGTGGTGCATGCCTGTAGTCCCAGCTGCTCGGGAGGCTGAGGCAGGAGGATTGCTTGAGCCCAGGAGTTTGAGGTTGCTGTGAGCTAGGCTGACGCCATGGCACTCACTCTAGCCTGGGCAACAAAGTGAGACTCTGTCTCAAAAAAAAAAAAAAAAAAAGAAAGGGGTCTGAAGGAGTGTTCTCCAAGCAATAAGGAGACTGCTACAGTACTAGACTTTGCATCTTAAATTCCATCCAGTGTGGCTAGCAAAATAAATGTTACTATTGAAATGTCTCAAGCCTTAGATTTTACCACCAGCAGAACAAAGGTGAGGGGGAGGGAGAAAAAAAATAAGCCAGGATTACCATCAAAGCCTTGTTTTTAAAAGGGTTACCTTCACTATTCAGGAAGGCAAGCAGAAGGAGAGATTAATTCCTGCCAGGGCAGCCCTGTTCGGCTGCTTCCATAGTGGTTACTTTACCGGGTGGCACAAGCCAATCCCATCTGTGACCTGCGCATGAACACAGCTGAGCAGGTTTAATTAGATCAGAGACACAAAGGGCCATTGCCTCCATTGATAACAACGCAGCTATAAGTGCCTACAACAGCAGGGGAGAAACAAAGACAGCAGAACAAACCTTAATTGAATCCTTCCCCTGGCTGGCCCTTGACAATGATTTACTTGTAACCTGGGAAGGGGCAGGTGGAGCAGGAGACTTAGCCAAGAGTCAGCTCCTAAAGACTAATTACTTGGGGTTGGGGAGGAGGGAAGGTAGCAAAGTCTGTGCTTGTAGCCGGACTGTGCTCAACTATTTGTTACAATCAATAGGGGGTTGCTTGGTTTTGGTCTGCTGCTACCAAACCTTGTCATGGTTTTGCCAGCCCCCCGGGCCTCAAGAATCCCATAAAATAAATCACCCCAGCCGCAGGGATCCCAGACACAGCCCAGCTCCGCAGGGGAAGCAGATAAGCAGCTCTCCGTGCTGGCGACTCCACAAACCTGCTTAAGTTTGTACCAGCAATCCTCCAAGCCCAGAGTAGAGAAGAAAGCAGAGAGGACACAATGGTACACACTGGTTCTCCTAAGTTTTCTCCAACTCTACGTGCATAAAGGCCAATTTTAGAACCAGATCCAGCAATTCCACAATTTACCCCACCGCGGAAAGGACAGATGGAGGGGGTCGGAAGGAACTACCTCCCTCCCAATGCTCCTACCTGATCCCTCTGCCCCCTTCCTCCACCCCTGTCCACAGCCAGCTGCGCGTTTCATCAACTCTCCGTTTTCCAAAGGGCCCAGGAATCCCAGATGGGGCCCAGTAGGTGGCGGAGAAGCGAAGGAAGGAGGGGAGAAAGGGAGGAAGGGGGCAGCGGCGGCTGCTGCAAACAGCCCCTTTCGCAGCTCTGCCATCAGCTCGCGCGCGGGTCAGTGTGCCACCGCCTCTCCGTCCTCCTCCGCAGAGCTGGGCGCAGGGGGGCGCCCGGGAGGCGGCGTAGTCCGAGCCAGGTTGCTGTCGCCCTCGTCTGGCTCGGCCGGGTGCAGGTGCATGGCAAGCTCCTGCAGCACGGCCGCGCGGCCGATCTGGTCGTTGCGCCGCTTCTCCATGATCAGGTCCTCTAGGCTCTGGAACTCCAGCGTGTGGCTGCGCTGCGCCGAGAGTTGAATCTGCAGCCGATAGGGCTGCTTGCCAATGCGCAGTTCACCGCCGATCTTGAACTCGCGCTTGCCATAGCGGCACCAGGCGGCGAAGCTCTCCGAGTTGCGCCAGCTCAGCTCGCGCTCCTTGGCGCCCACGTGCGCCAGCGCGTTGCGCACCACCGCGCTGGGGCTCAGCGGCTTGTAGCGGTACAGATCGTTGACCACGCGTCCGCGACGGCCCTGGCTTGCGTCTGTCAGGAAGCTGTTGCTCACCTCCAGCCGGTGCAAGTGCACCACCTGGAAGTTGCCCACGTACACTGCCCAATGCGGGTACTGCGCCTGCGACACGAACTCCACCAGGTCGCCTGGCTTGCACTTGTTGAGTAGGTTCTCGGGGGTGTAGGTGCTCAGCGCCGCCGAGCCTGGCGCGAAGCTCTTCTGGTATATGCACTCGTCACGGTAGAACACGGAGCATTCCACCTCGTGCAGCCGCGGGTCGTAGGGCTGCGGCTGGGGGAGCGGAGGGCCATCCCCACCGTCGGGCAAGCTGCCGCCATTGGGCCCTTGGGGAGGAGGCTGCGGCTCCACGTCCTCATCGTCATTGGAGAAGATGTAGGAGACCCCAATGCGGGGCCCGTCGTCCCGGTCCACGCCAGTCGGGTCGGCGGTGGGAACTTCCTTGTAACTTAGGTGGGTCAGTTTCTCCACCTGGTTGCCCATCACGTTGCGGACACACGTTCACACCGCCGCGAGAGGAGAAAGCGAAACCACCACTGGGGTCATTGGCACAGGTCCCCGTACAGGGGCTGAGGCCACCTGTTGGGAGAGGAAGGCAAAGAAGCCCTGTAGGAGCCCCTCCGTGAAAAGGGCGTTTTGTTCTTAAAGAAAGAACGGGTGGGGGCTGAGGACCTGGAGCCATTTTAGGGGCGGTCTTGGGTACATCGAGCGTTCTCTCATTCCTCCATCTCTAGGGTCAGGGCCACAGGAGACTGGGCAACTTCAGCTCTCCCCCACCCCCGCCCTTCGCCGGGCCCTGGCAAAAGCGCATTGCTTCAGCAACTCCTACCGCTTCCGCTCGCGCCCTACCTGCCAACCCCGAGCAGGGGGGTGGGGAAGGAAAGAGAAACTTTACTCCGATCCCCCCTTTCCTAACTTCCCCTCCCGCCCTTGGACCCTAACTAGCCCTTAAGGCAACTCCTGCCCCCTCCCAACACCTCCATCCCCAGGCGAACCAGCAAAGAGCCCGTAGCGACCCGGGCAGGTGAGTCACCCCACCTGGCTCACCTGCAGCGCTTCCTCCTTCCCCCGGCCCGCCCCTCCCCCGCGCGCCCGCCCTCCCTCCGGCTCGGCTTACCTGAGCAAACTCGCCCGCTGAGAGGTGAAGGCCGTGGGGATTGAGGAGGGGCCCCCGCCGCACCCCGAGAGTTCTAGGGCGAGTTTGCAGGTGAGGGCTCCGCAGTCCCTCCTCTCCCGGCGCCAGCGGCAGCAAGGCTGGGCAAGGGGGAGCGACGCATATCTTCCCCCAGCGGCTGCGGTGCACCCCAAGACTTGAAGGTGGGGGCAATTCCCGTTCACACCGCGTCCCCTCCCTCCGGCCGGGGCGGCTGCCCCCCTCGGCCGGCTCTGGGGGAGGTGGGGCGCGAGCAGGAGAGCGCGGCAGCCTCGCTGCCAGGCGGCGGCAGCTCCCGCTCGGGCCGGGCGAGCAACAAGCGCCGGGGCGGGAGGGAGGGGATTGTAGATCCGGCTCCGGGCTGCCGGGCGGGAGCGCAGCCCGTGGCATTTAAAGAGACAGGCGCTTGCTCCCCCGGCTCCGGTCTGTTTCACACTGCACTGAGCCACCGGGATCCCCGCCCCCGCCCCGCCCACCCGGGTCCTCGGGGCCCCGCCCGGCCACGCCCCCGCGCCGGAGCGGGTTTAAATCCCTCTGGTAAATAATCCACCCGCCGGCTGGGGCTGGCGCCGCGGGGCGGTCGCTCGGAACCTGGGTGTCTCGAGTGTTTTTCCGAGCTGTGGCTCTGAGAAGTTGGAAGGCGCACGCCAGCCGCCAGTGCAGAGCTGAGAGAGGAAAGGGGAGTTTGGTGTTTGTTCCTTTCCCTGTGGCCTCTTCTTCCCGGAGTACCTGGAAAGGGGCAGTCGTTAGGGACTCTCGCCTCTTTCCTGGAAAGTTTCTTGTCCCGAAGGTCCGAAGAAAAGAATATGTTACCAGGACAGCTCGAAAAGTGGTTCATCTTAGAAATGTTTTCAGTTGCTAGTGGGAAACTTTGGGGCAAAAAGAAAAAAAACAAAATCACAGGAAGGAAACAGTATAAAACAGAACGGAGACTTAGTTGGTGGCTGGGTCCCTAGACCAGCGTTCTATTTATTCGATGTCCCTCGAAGTTAGCAAAAGTGCATTTCATTACCTCGGTTCTTTTCCTGAGAGTTACCAGTTCTTTGGGTGGTGAGAGAATGCATGAAGCTCTGGCTGCTTTTCTTCGGGGTGGGGGATGTAGTACTAGCCTAATTGTCCTTAAATCAGAAACAAATTAGCAGAGGCCCCTGGTGGATATATTTCCTTCCTGTTGACTTAGGGAAGTGACAGGAGACCAGTATTGCCTATTAACCTCCGTCACAAAAGGATGTTATCCCACCCTGCTTACTGGTTTCGTTTCTTGTACCTAAGATGTAGGCTACCAAACTGGATTTTTTTTTTCATTTGTTTATTTTTTAAAATATTGGGTCGAGGTGGCAGTGGAGGATTGGCTGGCAGTTCCATTTGCAATAGTCAAACTTACCCACTCACTGCAAGCACACAAACTAATTTGTGGTGGATTTAAGCATGCAACTCCAGCCCTATACCTTGTTTTCCATCACTTTGTTTTGACTAAATTCTTCCAGGTAACACTATTATTTATTCAGTGTGTATACCAATCAGTGGAAACAAGAATATGTTAACACTACTGTGATCCTTTCTAGTTTGAGGGAAAAAAAAATCAATCTACTTATGTGCTTTTGAGTTCAAACAGTCAATACTGCCAGGGCTGTGATGGAAGTTAGTCCTTCAGCAAGTCTTAAGATCACAGTATGCAAGACTAAAATGAAACTTCTCTGTGCTCTGCAGATTCTATTAAGATAATTTCATACTGGCCTCTGGCACATGTGATCAGATGAGTGCCCCTGTTTCCTGAACTTTTGATGACACTTGGTCTGGGGACTGCTGCTACCTGAATGATGTCTTAGGCAATGGCCAGTCATCCCATGTCTGTCAGACTGGGAAAACTCTGCTACTGTCAAATGTGGTGGGTTTGCTACCTTGTCCCTAGGTAGGGTGGGATGGGATGGCTGTGAATGGGAGAATCCGGAAGACACAGCAGTATGACAGTTTACTGCCAGCACTCTGAGCCAAAAATCTAATGGGTGAGGAAATAATGCCTAGTTGTCTACATGTCTCTCCTGTTGTGTTGAGCTCTGTTCAGGTGTACAATGGTGGCTCCACATTTCTTGAATTGACCAACTAAAGTTTCAGAGGGACAGGCCCAGAGCCATCTTTATCGCTGAATGCCTGGTACTTAGCAGGTGCTCAATAAATGCTTCATGGATGCTTTAGGGGAAACCTTGGCCATAGATTAAGAATTCCTTCCTGGTTTTATAAAGCGGTGAGTGAGCCAGTGAGGGAATGAGTAAGCAACGAGATGATGCCTTTTGCGACTTGGCCTCTGCTGTAGATTCTTCCATTAATGCCTGTCTAGGGCTCAGCCTCCATCTGCTCACCCAGAGCACTTGGTCAGAGCTTGCAAAATGGCTCCCAAAAAAACATGCTTTGCTCATCTCAAAGAATTTTCTAAAAAAATTTAAGTCAGTTGTCAATGATTTGAAAACTTGAGAGATCTCATATAAAAATGTCTATGTCCAGCTTCTCTTGAAAAAATGTAAAAGATGTAAGACCATCAGGCCCTGTCCCAGGATGTCAACAAGAAGCTGGAGTGGAACATGAGTGCCTTGTCGGTGAGATGTCTGATTGGTCCCCGTGGTCCTGCCCACTTCACCTGCCTGGGCCTCTCGCCTGGCCCTGGAGCTCTCTGTGGGCCACCTTTGCCATCTAATATCTATACTACACATTTTTTTTTATTGTAGTATATGTAATTTGGCACTTGATGATACACTACCTGGTATTATTCTCTAATTCACAAGTTTAAACTATCTTTTCTAGAGAACTTAATTAAAAATACATTTCTTGAAGACATACTAGGTAGCTGCTAGTCTTTCTTATTCACCAAGCATTCATAAGTACAACAGGCACTGTGCTAGTTTTTTTTTTTTTTTTTATCTGTCCCCATGGAGCTCAGCATAGTGGAGGAGACAGAGAAATAAATAGACGCTTTAGGACACTGTGACATGTCCTATAAGAAGAAGAAATAGAGAGGATACTGAGGGACAGAGGGGACATTTCAAGGCATGTGGATGCAAAGATGAATGACAAAGTGCCTGCCAGCAGGGGTGTTGGACTCATGGGGGAAACACAACTCTAAAATTAATGATGATAACTCCCATTGAGTGAGTTCTTGATTCTTTTATAAAGGAGAATAAAAGGAGAGAGGCCGTGACTTCTCCCAGCTGGTGAGTAGGAAGATCACACAAGTCTGCTTTACTTCCAGGCCCATGCTCTAAACCTCTTTGTTTTAAATAGAGACAAACACATTCTATAATATTTAACAAATATTTGAGTGTTTGCGTTTACTGGGCTCCAAGGATACAGCCGTGGATGTAGCAAAGTCCCTGTTCTTATGGCATTTATATGTTGCTGGGAGAAGATAAGTAATAAATAAGTAAATAAATAAATGAGAATATGAGAGAGAGAGAGAGAGAGAGAGAGAGAGAGAGAGAGAGCGAGCATGCATGCAGAGCCATGAAAAAAATAAAATAGGGTAATGGGATTAAATAACTGTCAGCAAGGAGACAGTGGTGGGGATAACCAACTTTAGATAAGATAGTCAGGAAAGGACTCCTGGGGAAGTAGAACTTGAGCTGAGCCTTGAAGGATGAGAAAGAGCCACCCTTGGCATTCCCTCCCGAGGGACGACCAAGGGCAAAGGCCAGGGGTGGGAAGGAAGTGGGAGTGTTTAGGAAAAAGGAGAAAAAAATACAGTTGTGACCAGAGCACAGAGAGGGGCTGTGATGGGAGGTGCAGGTAGAGAGGTGGGCAAACCTTTGGGGTTTACAGGTGTCCCTATGGCTGCCCTATGGGAAAAGGACTGTAGGAGTAAGAAAGGAAGCAGGTCCCACGAAGGGCCAGGCTGGGCGGAGGAAAGACATTCCAGGCAGATGAAACCTATAAAGCAAAGGATAAAGCCTGTGATGTGCCTTCCCCAAGAGCAGCCGTTCAATAAAGAAATGTTAGTTGGGTTTGAATTCTCAGCCATACTGCAGCTTCTCCCCCCAACAGTGACCCAAGTGTCACATCCCACACGCCTCCTCGGAGGGGGCACTCAATAAAAACAGGTTGTGTTGAATGCCAGTTAGTCACTCTCACAGTATTCCCGTCTAGAGCAGTGGGGAATAATTGAGAATTGACGTTTCTACCTGACAAGGCATCGGCCCTGACTCTGCAGGTGTGGTAGAGATCTCGGTTGAAATGGCTTGTTCCAAGAATGTACAAAACAGGAGCACAAAGGCAGAATTATCTGATTAGGCAATCTGGAACTCTGCCTGTTCCCCAGCCTGGGCCCCAGGCTCATGGCAGCAGCAGAGAGCTGAATTTGTTGGAAAACAGGTTCCTCCCCACCTTACTTACCTTAGGAAACTTCAAGACTTACCTGCACCTGTTTATTCCCTGCTGGGGTTTTCTTGTGACCTTTGCAGCTGAGCAGTAGCAAATAGGGCCAGATGACCTGGGGTGGAGTCCCATTTGTCAACTGCTTGACCTCTGAGACGTCTTTTCTCCACGCTGGGCTTCGTTTCCTAGTCTCTAAAGTGAGGCTGATGATACACTGCTTGCCTGACTTGTGAATCCCCAGATGAGCTCCTTTATGTGGAAGCCCCTTGCAAATCCTAAAGGCCGTGTAGATGCTAGGCCTTATTTATACCCTGTGTAAGAGCCAGGTAAGGATTTCAAGCTAAGTAATAAAAAGATAACCATTTATTGTGGGCATCCTCTTGCTAAATCTCCATACCAGGCTTACTGTTTACATTTTCTAGATAAGATGACAAAGACCCAGGGAGGTCAACATGAATCTTACCCATTGTATGGGGAGAGGCTGGATTCAAAGCCAAATTTTGCTGGCTCCTAGTCTGCTTTTCCCACTGTGTCAAACAGCCTTATTAGAGCACCAGCATCTATGTTTGCTCAGCCAGAAACTGGCAGCTCTAAGTGACCAGCTCATCCTGGTTTGCCCAGCACTTTCCTAGTTTTAGCACAGAAAGCCTTGCAAACTGGGACAGTCGGCCACCCTACCTGGGTACATCCCTAGCCTGGTCATTGCCTTCCCTGAGCCAAAGACTGTCATGAGGGTAGAGCCAGGATGTTGCCAGGATGGAGCAGGGAGAGGGGAGGGAAGAAAGGAGAATCAGGTGGTTTAGTCCAGACCTCACTGTCATGAGGTTATACACACAGCAGCAGCTGCAGAAACAGGGCCATCCAATAAAAGAGTCGAGTCGATAAATGTTATAGCCTACTTTTGGCATTCTCCTTTTTTTATTTAAATCAGACTCTTCATAATAGCTGAGGGCTGGGCCTGTTTGTCTCACCTTTGAGAGGTGCAGGCCTGTGACTGTCCTCCTTAACCCTCCCAGCCTGCCTGTCTTTGGCTTTAAAAGCTGCATA